TCTAATTACTTCTTTATCCTTGAGTACCATTGATTCTCTAATGGACAGTGATTCATAAAACACATTCATGAATCGGAGCTCCTACTGGTCTAAGTACCGAATCAACCCTCAAGAGAATTATTTATCTACTTCTTTCTTAAGAAGGAATGGATTCCATCTCGTGTAATAACATTCCCGGCTACCTACTTCATCATGTCTCCAAAATACAAGGAATAGGATTCAGGATCTCAGAATCCGTACCGAGTAAATCAAAAGACACAAATCCATAAATAGGAGTCTGTTAAGAACTCAGGATAAGATCATCCTATATATTACCATCGGTAGACTCAATTAGAATTTCTATACTTAACGGAATTATTAGAAAATTCATATTGTGTCTGTGTCCTTGTTCCACATAATCTCATTATGCGAAATACACTCATTCAATATCTCGCCATATTAACAGTGCGGATAACACCATTCCATTCTAAATGGGAATGACATGTATTAATAATGTTTTAATTAAAGATTCTGAACTTTAATTAAATTCATTATGAACATTGCTTTTTGATTATTATCCTTAAACATTATCCTCTCGTATATAACACTTATATACAGTGTTTAAGGTTACATAAATAATCATGGAATTTTCATTGATATTCACAAAATATTCATAAATATATGCACATAAAATAATGAATAAACTATTTTATTAAATAAATAATAAATATCCTATTACATCTCATGCTTCTAGGACACCATTCCCAACACATAGGGACATAGGCTCACGAAGTGACAATAACATGAGAGGGCCATGGACCCCCAACGGTGATGAGGAAGGGATTTTGGTCGCAACAGTTACAGGTGGGCCATATCGTGCAAGAGGTTTATGTGTTGCGATGAACATAATGAGTGTAGGAGACTAAGGAGACGTTTGGTTCATGGATTAAAATCATGAGATTAGAATCATTTTCGATTTACGTGTATTTTTTGTGAGAGAAAATATTATAACGAACCACGAACCATGATTCGAATCAGGGGCCGAATCCCCTTTCCAAACGTCTCCTAAGATGTAGTAATTGTATTGAGGATGAGTTGATCTTGACCTATCCATAAAGAGTAGTCGTGATTCACAATGTATAATTAACCGAATGAGTTTTAAAGGAGCTTGAGCCACCGCAGTAATTATAAGAAGGAGCGCGTATTCTCAAATGGGTTGAGAAAGTGGCGGAGGGAGGATGGCATGGTGGTGGGTGACATTAGTGTAGCTGACAGGGTGGTCTATGGGGCATCAGGCATTGAGAGAAGATACAGATAAAGTTTGATTTGCTCTTGGAAGGTTATTGATCTCATACCATAAAGAGATTCAATTGAATGGAAATATGATGAAATCTCATTGATGAGAGAAATATACAGTATATAATTATGCACAATAAATACATAAAACAAAATTATTCAAAAATTCTAACTAAAGGAAACTAGCCTAAACCCAAAATATTTGCATAAATTAAAATCCCATAATTTTTGTATTTGATTGAGATTCAAATGTCATTTTGAACCACCATATAAGTACCTCTAGAAGCCCAATTCATCAAACTCAGATCAGAGACTACCTTACACCAATTCATGTTATTAATCCATTAAGATTACAGAAGTACTTTAATTTGAATAATTTCACAATTTAAATCACAATTTAATCTTTTGAGTACAAATTTTCCTCATAAAAATTCATTTTTCGGTTAAAATTTTCCTCATAAAAATTTTATTTTTCAGTTAAAATTTTCAACTACAACTCGTGAAAAGAACGGGGCCTATAATCTTACCGATGTGAATCTTAGAAATTTGTCTCCATCTTGAACCACAAATCCTCATTGCTCAAGAAAAGAATTCCCCCTCCAATAAAGGTTTGACAGAGCATTTGACAAGCATTTTACTTCAACAATACTCAAACGAAATTTCACAAAAGAGAAAGGTTGTCTACTACTAACTAGTTAACTAATTAGTATAATTTTCAGCTAAATAATTTCATAAAAATATATGCTCCCTTGTACTTTCTGACACATATCCCTCATTTGCTCTTAATTTTGCCGGTACTAAGTTATACTATTCAGCACACTTTTGGATGAAAAAAAAAAATCAGATTAAGCGCAATAGTACAAATCGACCCCAATATGATCTATCTCTGTCATCTAGAAAGCTGACTTTGAAGCATTCATAGACAGTTCATATATAAATATATATATATTTATGTACTTTTCTTATATTACTTAGTGGGTAATTAACAACACTGAATTTGTATCTAAATCGGTCAATAAAAAGATTTACAACACCATATAGTACCTGTAATTGCTTTTAATGATTGAAAACTAGCTTCTCCTTTCGTCCCATCTCAATCCAAAGAAACGAGATTATAAGAGCTATGTCTATATAAACCATTAAAAAAAAAAAGAAAAAACTCAAGTCTAATCATTCAAAAAAACTCAAATCTATGGTATTTTTATTGTGTATATATAAACAAGACTGTTAAACGAACAATTACACAATTATATATGCAGACCAACCGAAACTGGGCGCATTTTTAAACTGTCGTATTACATTAAATTAAAAACAATATAACTATTTAACAGAACATAATAAAAATCTGATCTAACAAATCTATGGATTTTTTTTTTTTTTTCATTATCCTATCAAAGAATTCTCCGAAGAAAAAGAAAAAGAGAGAAAAATCACGAGTTTCTGAATCTAGCTAACTACTTATCACGTCGTAATCGGGCCACTTTGTGAAGAGAGAACATTTTCCTCAAAGCCCTTAGGAGCGCGACGGTGCTAGTTCTCTTAGGTTGTCTCACCAAAGAGCTCCTTTTCTTGGACACCTTCAACTGCAAACCCTGCAAAAGATTAGAATCCCGATCTCCAATATCATTGAAATAACCGCAATTATTAACGGCGTCGTTAGTGACATGATTGTCACCACCGCTGCTAATTGTTTGGAGACGTCGGCTTTTGATTCTGTTGTCTAAGGAAGAAACTCTTTGAAGCTCCTTTTCATTGAAGTCCTCCCACAGCAAGTCCATTCTTGTCTCTGAATCTCCCACTTCTATTTCTGAAAAGCTCTTGTGTTTCCTCACAACTCCATAATCTTCTTCTTTGTCTTCTTCTTCTTCTTCTTCTTCTTGATCTGGATAGACTAGAGAAGAAATTCGCCACAGAGATAAAGAGTAGTAGTTGTTGATATTGTCTTTGTTGGTATTTGTAAGTTTTGGAAAGCTGAAATCTTCTGTATTTGCCATTTCTTTTTCCTTTTTTCGGATGATGAGGGATATTGGGTTTATTTGAAATAATTGGAAGAAGTGAAGGAAGATATTTGGTTTTGGGAATTTTGGGAAATTAAAATTATTTTTAGTGGAAATAGTAGTTATTTATATGATGGATGTCGTTTTCACGTTGTGGAAAGTTTGAAAATTTGAAGTTGATGTGGAATTGACGGGCATCGACTCTAAAGAGTGTACATTTAATGAGAGTTAGGATCATGCACAACAAACGCCGGATTAATTGCTAGGATGAGGCCTATTTGGGATAGCTGTTAAATACTCGTTGTTACTATTTGTAAATTGTATACGTTTTGGGGGGAAATTGGTCAATGTGATTATAATTATTTTGTTTCGGAAATAAATTGCGTGTAAAATAAAAATTGTGAAATTTTGATACAAGTCCACGTGTTTTATTGGCTAGTTAGATGAGTTAAATATTGTCTCTGTCATATCATTTTTGAAAAGTTGTTAGCAGTAGTTGGTGGTAAAATTGCAATATTATATCCGTATATATCCCAATAAGCGATTGGTTTAGTGACACGCAAAGAGTGATAAACATGCCCCTAATTTCCTCAAGAGAAAGACAGCTAACAAAATATCGAGTACTCAACTTACTCTTTTAAACAAATTTTGACAATCGATGGAAAGCTCCAACCCATCAAGAGATTGTAGACTATAAAAATACTGTAAAGAAACAATTATTAAGGAAAAACCGTAAACAAATAAACTTCATACAACTGAAATGACAAAGATTCCAATACACTTATTAAAAATAAATAAAATAAACAAGTGGAGATATTACCACGGCTCAAAGAAGACAAACATGCATGTTGCTCACTAGTCTCAAGCCACAAACATAGCGTGCAAAGACCAAACCTCATCGGCTTGTCCTCTACTTACCGATTCGAACTTCTAGCAGCCGTAATCTGAGCCCATGAAGGCTAAATATCACAGACCACGAACCACACTCACCTAAGTCCTAACCAACCGTTCTCCGGCCGCGGTCCCTTCTACGAAGGATGAGGTTGTAGTTGCTTACTTCATGTTCTTAGGTTTTTAGTTTTTTTTTTTTTTTTTTTTTTTTTTTTTTTGGTGTTTTTGTTTTTTTTTTTTTTTTTTTGTTTTTTTTTTTTTTTTTTTTTTTTTTTTTTTTTTTTAAATAAATTGCTTTTGTGAAACTAAATTTAGTGTCTAAAAATGGCAAATTGAATATTCTATGGCCCCCAAAACAAATTCTAGCTAGTAGATACCCTAGATATATTTATAAAAAAAACACGTTGCACATTTTTATGTTTTTCAAGTAAAAGCGTTAGAAAATGTCACTTTAAACACAACACGATTGTGACATATTTAACACGATCATAGTACGTTTAATATATACATTGATCAATTTATCTTTTGTGTTTTTAAAAAATGAACAAAATTTAGTCCCTTAATTCAAAAATTATATTGTTTCTATTTGATAAATTATATAAATTTTTAATAATATATCATGTATAATATAGTTGGATTGTAGATTTTTTTTTTTTTTGGTATTATACTACTGCAAAATTCTCCAAACAAACTTTTGCCGGGTGGTACTGATATCCGTACATAGAGTACTTTAGACGCGTATGGAATTGTGTTTCGCCCACCTCTGCATTATGCACTCCATAATTCTTGTTTTCTGTCTTTCTTCTAGATCTAGTAGAATTTATCTTTACCCCTTTCCGGTGCAAATTCACTTATTTTGGACTCGCCATAGCATATTTGAATTTCACAAATTTTCTCTATGACAATTACACTAAAAGTATTCTTTTCCTTTTCGTGATTAATGCTAAGCTATTAACAGGACTAATTACCATTATTAACTAGCCAACATTCAAACTTTATAAAAATGAACCCACCAAATGAAAACAATAATGAAAGTGAAATGAAAAACAATAATATAAATGTGAAATGAGCATGAACATTAATAACTCCACTGAAAGTAGAGGCTCAAAATGAATACAGTGGGGAGTAGTTTGTTGTAAGTTGGCTAGAGTAGACATTTGCTAGAAAAATGACAATTAATGCCAAAAATTATATATATCTCTAACTATGAGTTTTAGAAGTTTTGTGGACCATATTGGACAAAGTCGTACTACTGGTGAGCTGGTATAACATTTCTGTTCGATTCAATCTCAAATGTGTGCGTTTGAATTCTATTTGAGTTAATTAATAGGGTAATAGCCGACAGCTAATTATTTTTGTATTGGAGAAACATCCTTTTTTTTTTTTCTGTACGATTTGTTGTCGAATATAACGGAACAATGTTTGAGCTCTGTGTATAAGGAATCACAAACGTATGATCAATGCATGGTTTTCCTATTTTAGCTAATACGTCTGTCTACTTTTAGGATTTTACTCTAATTCTAGGATTTTTAAACTTTTGGAACTTTACTCCACGAATCGAATAAAATGTTGTATTGTATCCTAATCGATGAGGGTTGTTAATTGGATGAAGACGCGCTCATGAACGTCTTGCGACGTGCTCCATTGTAATCCAAAATTATCTTCTTTTCACTCAGAGTTCGTTTAGTTCATTGATTTGAGTTTTTAATTCGAATTGAGATGTGAATATATGTGAGAGCTTTTTACTGTAGCAAAAAAGTTAGATGTGATTATTTCTGAAAGCTTTTTACTGTAGCAAAAAAGTTAGATGTGATTGTTTCTGAAAGCTTTTTACTGTAACAAAACTCGAATTTTAAACTCGTATCGGTAAAATGAACGGGGTCATGACAACAGAGTTAAGAGTGACCATGGCAACAGAGTGGGCGCAAATATGCTTCTCCCACTTCCATATCCTGCTCCCCATTTACCCCTCAAACCCGCCTTCATACTCGTCTAGTTAAAGGCAGGGTTAGGGTCAGAGAATCCACACTGAGAGAGCAATTCTCATATCCTACACATTTATCCATTAAAATCTTATAACATTATTAAACTCAAAGCAAATTTTATTAAATTAATTGTAAAACTGAGCAACATAGTCATTAAAGCTCATGAAATAAAGTGAAACAAAATCCAAACTCTAACACTCTCACAACTACAAGTCAAAATTTTAAAATGCCAAAACATTAATGTTTCATATTTAAAATAGGAAAAATTTTATTTTGGTACTCACTGTTATATCAAAATTTGATTTTGGTATTCTCTGTTTTTAAAAATTTCATGCCGGTACTCCGACCTTTTAAAAAAAAAATTTTGGTACCTCAGAGCCATTTTTTGAGACACGAAAAGACAAAATTGCATTTATTGTAAAAATTCATCTATTGACTAGAATTTTGAAGGAAAAATGATTTTAAAAAAGGATTTTGAAGAAATAAATTTTTTAAAAAGGATTATGCTCTGCAGGTGTAACAATTTTTAAAATCTTAAAATTCTAGTCAACAGATAAATTTTTATAATAAGGGCAATTTTGCATTTTTCTGTTTCAAAAAATGACTCCGAAGTACTAAAAAAAAAATTTTTTTAAAAGGTCGAGGTACTAACATAAAATTTTCAAAAACAGATGGTACCAAACTTAAATTTCAATATAACAGAAGGTACCAAAATGAAAATTTTCTTTTAAAATAATAGTACATATATTCAGGTCAAGATGGGGGTTGGGAAGCTTTCTCCACCTCTCCCCGGTTAGACTTGAGGGTTAATATTAACCATACTCTCTCCTTCACCTCATATAATAACCCCCATACTTCTCCTATTAAGAGCGGATATCGCAGGTAGCCATACCCATAGGTAAAAATGTCACCCTAAGATAAGAGTGTCTCTGTCCAATTCTAATTACCATCGTCATTTTTGTTCACTTTACAACAATTTATTAAACTTAAAGGGTAATTTGGTAAAACTAAAAATTTCGGGACAACTTATCAATTTATAAAATTCAAAGAACAAGGGATAAAAAATGACTTAGTATCATTTTGTAAATGCTTACTAATCTAAGTTTTAGTAAGCGTTACTTATAGAGGCCCCGTTCACTTCGCTTATTCGAGTTTAGAATTCGAGTTTTGATGTGACTTTATGTGAGAGCTTTTTACTGTAGTAAAAAAGTTAGATGTGATTGTTTGTGAGAGCTTTTTACTGTAGAAAAACTTGAATTCTAAACTCGAATTAACAAAGTGAACGGAGCCAGAGCATTCAATTTAATTACCTTGTGAGACTATTATTTGACAATTACAGAAACACCCCTTTAAATCCAAAAAAATTTCAGAAGCAATAACCATATTCTCAAGTCAGCAATAGACTTGACTTGACTAAGTCATTATTGGTTACAAAATTTCAATTTTTCTAAAACGGGTATTGATGGTAACATACAATAGTTGTCCTTCCCAAAACAAATAAGAGCTTGTTTCTTAAGAATCTTATTAAAGCAAAAGGCAAATTTGGCAGTTATTTTTAGAGAGAAGTGATATGGGTTTTGCCCTTTATAACAAACAATAAGATGTGGCATACCCAGCTGTTGTTGTTATGCTTTTTGAGGTCACCTTTTGTTTGTTCTAACTGGCTTCTAAATGCTCGCAAAATATTAGGTTTCAATTTTGGTTTAAACATTGTCACCTTTCTCTTTTTTCACCTTTGAGTCGTCAAAATTCCTTCCTCTTCAAATCTCTCTTGTTCTTACAATTCACCTTTCCCAATTCTATTTGTTTCTCTTCAACTTTGCAGTTGGGTGTGCCAAAATCCAGATTTGATGCAAATTCAATAGAGGGTCTTTGAGGTATGTTCAGAACTTGTTCTTTAATTAATTATTTTGTAAAAAAAAAAAAAAAAAAAATCAAAAAACAAAATCTTGATAGGGGAATTTGAGCTATAATAAATGATGTTGCTTTTGTCATTCAAATTAAGATAAGTTAACTAACAATAAGAATGCGAAAATTGCAGAAATATCCTTTTGAAAAAAAAAAAAAGAAGGAAATTGCAGAAATAGACTTTTAAGTTTGAAGGTGTAGTTAGTTGTTTCATCTCATTAATTGTAAATGGTTTTGCTAATTTATAATCATGTTTTGTATTAATTTTGTGAATCAGTGATTATCAAGATGCCCATAAATCCTATTCCTTCATGGTTCTTCTTCCTACTTTGAGAATAAAGCTTCAAACTTTATTTAGCACTTTCCTATTTGCGATATTTTTTTATTTTTTAATTTTCAATAATGCCTCTAATTATAAATTGTTTTGCTAATTTAATTGATATGGCTATAATTAAAGCCTAGTATCTGAAGTCCAAACCAAGCATTCGAATTAATTCATTTTCGTGCCATGCAATCTTAGATAAGATTATTGGTTCCTGTGATTTCTTTTTTTTCTTTTTTGAGGAAAGCTTTTTATGATTATTTGGCTATCATTTTATTTATTTTTTAAAAAACTGAGTAATAATGTGTGTGGTGATATTTCAAAAGGTCCTATGAGTTTAAACCGTCACTGATGCCTCTCTCAACTTTCAATTGATAAAGACTGCTGATTATAAAAATAAAAATAATAAAAGAAACAACAATTAGTTGACATAAAATTCAACAAATTTCTAACTTCTAAATAGCGAAGTAATTAATGCTTCTTAAAAAGAATAACCCAGTTTAAACAGGAATTTTGGTCTAATCACATCACTTGCTAGATTTTGGTCTAATCATACATTATGACGTAAAAATGTTAATTAGATCCAAAACCAATAGTGATTAGTGGAGATCCAACATTATTCTTCTACTTTTCCGCAATGAAATTTAATGCTCCAAATCTCGTATTGTTTATATTATTTTATTTAGGTCCAAAGCCTCAACATATTGGAAAGAGTCTTCTCCAAATGATTTCAATAAATTAAACATCATGGAAAAACCAGCATTGACCCAAGTCACGGCTGGTTGCAAACCCTTGACCACATTTGTACAGACAGACACAAACTCTTTCAGAGAGGTTGTGCAGAGACTGACAGGCCCATCAGAGCCCAATAATGTAGCCCAACAAGAGATCCCTGCAACAGGCAACAAGATAACGGGCCCAAAGAGGCAGACCTCAACACCACCGCCGCCAACAACAACAACAACAACAACAAAGCCCAAACTCCACGAGAGAAGGCATTACATGAGGCCCAAGCTTGAGATAGTCAAGCCCACTTTACATTTCAGGCCACCTTCTTCACCCACTGAGAAGAACCAGGCCTTGTCACCCTCCCAAGTGGGCCCAAATTTCCTATCAAGCCCATTGGGGACTCCCTCAACAATAATGTCAAATCTGACCATAGAAGAGAGCAATAAGAAAGGTGAATCCGGAATGGAATGTGTGTTGAACAGCCAAGAGGAAGAGAGAGCCATTAAAGAAAGGAGATTTTACTTGCACCCATCACCTAAGGGTAGACCACCAGGATACGCTGAACCAGAGTTGCTTACTTTGTTCCCTTTAACATCTCCCAAGACAGATGAGAAAAACCCATGATTTTGGCATTGGAAATGAACTTTGTCACAACTTTGTTCTTGCACTTTTTTAACTCATGAACAACTCAAAAGTATCAAACAAAGAATGATGGGTTATGTGATTGGCCTCTTTTCAAGACTTGCATGATTCTGTAATTGTATGTTTTTTTAGACAAGAAGAAGAATGAACATTGTTTTTCCTAATCATTGCTTAGTTCTCTATAGGAAATTGTATGTCTTCCAAACCATATGGATTAAATCAAACGATTTAGAAGCGAAGCTTATAAAGTAAGTGTAACAGCATTGCCCAGTGAACCGGATTGTGACCTCCAAATGAAACACCATCAAAATTTTAACCTCTTTATACTTTTTTTTTTTCTCTTCTCTTTTTCTTTATTAAGTTTCTAGATCAAATTAATCCTTTTTAAAATTCAATCAAATCACACCTTTAAAAAAAAACCTTACTCAAAACTATCTATCTCCTTCTTCCAAAAAACCATCGGCACTTACCATCTGATTTGACATCACCCAACTAGATAAATTTAAATTAAAGTCTACTTTTACTAGGGTTGACAATCCGAATAGTGACATGATGACACGACTCGAAACTCGCATGAAATTAGCGGATTTGAGTTTACTATAAATGGGTTTGAGTCATAATCAGGTTGACACGATTAACACGATGAATAAATGGGTTGAGTTTCTTAAAGAAAAAATAAATTGACCAATAAACATGTTAAACGTGTCTTTATTGTGTTAAATAAGTCATTATTATACTAATTATTTATTCAATGTATTAATTTAAACGGGTTATACAAGTTGACATGATTAATACGATTAATAAATGAATAATGTTTGAATTGACATTTTTAACACGTTTAATAAACATGTCGTGCTTGAGTTGATGTTTTCTAACATGATTAACACCCTTAACTTTTACCCATTAATGCGGACTAATCCACTTTTATTATAATTTCAAGACACATTGTTGACCTTATAGTGTTATATCGGTAATAATGTCAAAATAATGCATCGGGCACGCAAATTTACGGACTCGTGGTTTATGAACATAATTATTGATGTTAATGTATAGTTTTATGATAGTAATAGTGTAAATTTCAGTCAGTCTTCTACTTTTAAAAGCTAAATTTTTATGATCCCCATTATTCTAGGTATACCTTTCTAACCTAGGATACTAGTAAATAGATTTTGACGAGAGCTCTAAAAACCATAGAAACCAAGAATTTGTATCATTGTATAGTCACTGCGTCCACCATGGCATTTGACTTAGTACTACAGGTGCTTAAGCATTTATGGTTATGGAGGTCGTAGCAACGATTTTAGGCTTAAACTTTCTGATGTGCAGGATCCTCCATTAGAGGCAAGCACATAGCATACTAGTTAGGATGAGAACGATTATAATATAAAGAAGGGAATTTAGAATTTCAGAGAGGAAGAACAGGAATTTAGAAACTCATGATCTTATTTCAGATCAAAATTTTTTACAAAGTTCTCTGGGTTGGAGGACCTCTGCCAAACTTAGAAAAATGCCTCACTTTATATAGCTGAGACTAGCTTCACAAGACTCTGATCTTGTCCGACAAGATAAGATTTACACTTTTAGCTTTTTGACTTATTTTACAAATGACGAAAGTACTTTTGACAAAATGGATGACACACTATTCCACTTATGACTTATTTTACAAAAGACGAGACCACGCTTGACAAAGTGGCAGACATACTATCTTACTTTTGACTTATCTTGAAAGGACAAATAAACTTTTATACATGATAAGATCTCAGGATAAAACTTGGGTCCCATGCAAAAGATGACAGCTGGAGAATAGTCTTTTTCAGCTAGGAGACAAGTTGTAGTGGGATTATGTAATCTGATGAGTCAGAATTTACTGAACCATGCTCATGATGATACCACGGTCGTTGTCGTTTGTTGGGTGATGAGTCATAATCTGGGTCCTGAGAATCTTATAATAGTGTTGGGTCGTAATCCTGTTGACTCTGTGTGTTCTGGAGTAATGATGGTGTTGGAATGGAGCTCATTGCATTTCCTTCTTCAAAGTATCGACTGTTATTGACAATAAAAATGTTGTACGGTCCATAGATCTCAGTGGGTGGAGCTATTGCATAACTGATACATGGTTGTAAAGCAGGCTTTGGCTGGTGTCCATTTTCTCTGTACAGTACTTTAGCAAGGTGATCTGTGATGTCTTCCAGTGAATTGGGATAAGCAAAGCCAGTATACCAGGTGTATACAACATGTTGTGTGTATAGCCCTTGTGTTTCTGAGTTGAGTAGGTATGGACAGTGTAAAAAGAAGATGGTGTGCACCGGTGGGACCTCTGCTGAAGAGAAGGTCTAGATTCTGTATCACTGGAGGAGTCTCGAAACTTCCTTTCTCCACCATATGAGTGGATTAAACATCTTCAGAAGCTGCCACAAAGTCAATCCTCCGGTGTTGGGGTCATTGAGGTGTGTGTGTAGATGCATGAGTGGACAATTTAGGGTGGTCTTGTACAGAGCTGTTTGGCACCATAGGTACCAAATATCATCTGCAATAACTTCACCAAAAGAATGAAGATGGTAAAGGGCAAGGTATGGCTGTTCTGTATTGTACAGGAACTTGGCATGAGGGTTTTTGGTTCTGTCACAGACTTTGGTTAGGTAGTAGAAAAGATGGGTTTTGGCATAGTGTTGGGTTTGGTCAGGTTTGGCTGAACTATCTAGGCCAGGAGGAAAATGATGGTCTGAATTTACAGGAAAACATAGTGGTGTGTGGATATTGGTAGCCATGAGAATGAGAGGAAAAGTTTTACAAGGGGTGATGATTTGGACTGATTTTGGTCGAGTTAGAAAATTAGGGATGAGGTTGTGATGGCATGTTATATGCTTGACAGAAAAGTCATATCTTACAAACCAATGTTTAAGTCTGAGTAATTGCAGATCAGGAAGGATTTTATTTTTAAAATCAAGGACCGTATGAAAAGATGAATTATTCATACGGACCACAAAATTGAATCCTCTGAGATAAAATCAAAATTTTGAATTCCATACTTTACCACAAGAATCTCCTTGTAGATGGTGTGATAGTGCTTTCCTCATTCTTTGAACTGACCACTAGCATGTCCACAATAGTGCTTCTTGTCTTTTTCTTCTTCTATCTGTAACACCCCGAAGAATTAAACAAGATTAATTGAGGTAATTAAGATTTATTAGCGTGCCTAATCTGATTTAATTAATTAATTATTGATTAATAAATGTTTCTGATGTGTAAATTTAAATAATTCCAAGGTATTTAAAAATTCTCATTATTTACATTTTTATCCAGAAGTGTGTATGGGCACATTGCTGGACTGTCATTTTAATAACTGTGACACCTGTCTTTTTTCTTTTCTTTCTTTTCCTTTTTCCTTCGAACACACACTCTCTCATTCTCTCTCTTCACTCTCGTTCTCACTCTCTCTTTCTCTCTCCCGTTTTTGTCTTAAATCAACCAAATTTTGAACCAAGAAGGATTTCAAGAAGTTTTCAACACGAAGAGAAGGATTCGAGGTAAGATTTCTGAAAAACCTTTCTTGAAACTCGAATTTTCAGATTTAGAAACTTATTTTGGTTCGAAATGGATTTTGATGGATTTTGAGTAAAACTATGGTAGAAATTGGAGATCTTGGGTTCTTTGGACTTGATTCAGTACTTAGAACCTGGATCTAGTGGTTTTCCTTTGAGATATTTTGATCTAGTGGTTCTTTGGACTTGATTAAGTCTGAGTAATTACGGATCATGAAGGAGTTTTTTTAAAATCAAGGACCTTAGGAAAAGATGAATTATTCATACGGACCTCAAAATTGAATCCTCTGAGATAAAATCAAAATTTTGAATTCCATACTTTACCGCAAGAATCTCCTTGTAGATGGTGTGATAGTGCTTTTCTTATTCTTTGAACTGACCACTAGCATGTCCACAGTAGTGCTTTTTGTCTTTTTCTTCTTCTATCTGTAACATCCCGAAGAATTAAACAAGATTAATTGAGGTAATTAAGATTTATTAGTGTGCCTAATCTGGTTTAATTAATTAATTATTGATTAATAAATGTTTCTGATGTGTAAATTTAAATAATTTCAAGGTATTTAAATATTCTCATTATTTACATTTTTATCCAGAAGTGTGTATGGGCACATTTCTGGACTGTCATTTTAATAACTGCGACACCTGTCTTTTTTCTTTTCCTTTTTCTTTTTCTTTCCTTTTCTTTTCTTCCTTTTCCTTTTTCCTTCTCGAGCACACTCTCTCTCATTCTCTCTCTTCACTCTCGTTCTCACTCTCTCTTTCTCTCTCCCGTTTTTGTCTCAAATCAACCAAATTTCGAACCAAGAAGGATTTCAAGAAGTTTTCAACGCCAAGAAAAGGATTCGATGTAAGATTTCTGAAAAACCTTTCTTAAAACTCGGATTTTCAGATTTAGAAACTTATTTTGGTTCGAAATAGATTTTGAGTAAAACTATGGTAGAAATTGGAGATCTTGGGTTGTTTGGACTTGATTTAGAACTTAGAACTCGGATATAGTGGTTTTCCTTTGAGATATTTCGATTTGGGACTTGGATTTGCAGGTTTTCCATTGATTTTCTTCGGATCGGCCCTTCTGGCCATCCTTCCCTGATTCCACCGGTCGACCTATGCGGTTAACCGGTCTGCATTACATCAGGTCGACCTATGCAGTCGACCGAAGTGCACACCACCGGTCGACTGGGGGTGTTGCACTGCGCTGTCACCAGTTGACCGGTGTGCACTGGGTTTGACCATGTTTTGCCTGAAAAACCATGTGTTGACCCTGATTTTGAGGAGAACCCAAATTAGCTTCGTTTGGGGACCTA